TGTATTATACCTACTAGGAAATATTTTGATTAATATAATATTAATAATATTTCATCAATATTAAATAAAATAATTATTCTCAGCTGTTTAGCAAATACAAACTTAATTACGGAATACAACCTTTATTTGTTATGATATTAATTTGTTATAACTAATATTATTTTTGTTATACAAAATGAATAAAGGAAAAAAGCAGTGATTCAAAGCCAAAGGCGGCAGATCTTAAATGTCTCGCAGCGTCTCAGCGCTATGAGATATTAATATCACTCTACTAATTAAAGGAATGAGAATAAAGATTTGGCAACGCCGATTTAACAAGAGAGAGTTAGGTATAGCGTGAACTGCAGGCACAACAAAGATAGTTATATTGTCATGCCTAGAGATTTAAAGGTTCGGAAAAAAACAGGAAAAATTGGAAAAAAACAGTGTTTTTTTCCGTTTTTTCCCGAGCCTTGGAAAAATTGAAAAACGGAAAAATTGAAAAAATATTTAAAAAAAAACGAACATCTAAAAAGTATTTTGATTTGATATAATTTATGTATTAATGAGTGGAAATTAAATAAATATATTTTTGCAGTAGTACAGAAGTCTGTGCTTTGAGCAAAAAGCATACCATTGTGTATTGTGGGTACAATAAAAAAAGTTTATTTAATACAAGATAAATGTTTTTATGCTTACCGTAACGCTGTAAACGAACGACGATCGGTCCGACGTGTCGGTTCCTAATCAGCTGATCGGGCAGGGTTGCCATTGTGATGTTAAAATCATTGAATATGCTACTAACGCCTGGGTTAGTGTATTTTGAATAGTTACCCATACAACAATGATTTTAATGTGAATTACGGCCGTCGGCAACTAGGGTTTTTTCATCGTTAAAAAGCATGACCCTACAGGTGCCTCCCCGGGGGGCGCCTATACATAACGGGAATTTTTTAATCAAAATAATTTATAAATATTATAAAAAATATTTAAAATATTTTTAAACATTTTTTTTTGTTTTTAAGAAAATATCAATTTTTCCCAAAATTTCCGTTTTTTTCCAATTTTTCCAGGAAAAAAACAGGGTTTTTTTCCGACACTCAATTTTTCCGGAAATTTTGAATCTCTAGTCATGCCCACGCGGAAGTCAAATCGTACCGTTTGTTAAATATTTGTAGCGACAACAGCGCCAGCGGTATATACCCGAACTAAAGGAAAGTTTTGTAGGTATATATGGCACGCACTGACTTCCAACCTAAAATTTGAAATAACGCTTTTTTCGACCTCTATATGACATTGCGCTAAAAAAATGCACTTTTCGTAGTGACTTCCGAAATCGGAAGTCACATCGTTATATATGAAGTCACAACGTCTACTGAGTATCTATTTTGGAAGTCACTTGGTACTATTTATCAATATATATATATATATATATATATATATATATATATATTAGGGTGATTCAAAAAAAGTGACTTCTCTTATATTTTTGATTACACCCCCTCATTTGGTAGTTTACTCCGTAAAAAGAAGAATGCGACTTGGAAAATCAAAATTAAAAAAAAATGAGAGGTCGCTCAAGTCGATTTTAGTTTTTTTTGCCGAAAAAAAGAAAAATTTTGTTAAATTTTCAAAGTCGTGTAAAATCGACAAATTTAAATAAAATTGCATAAAATTTTAACAGAATATTAGTGAATCTTTATAGTTTACGAAAATATTGTTCATTTTTTAAATTTTGAAAAAAAATGTTTTTCAAAATTATTTATCAACGAAAAATTTCTTGTTTATAACAATTGAGCACCTGTCGCGCACGACGTATTGTGCATGTGAAATTATTCTTAGGCGTTCCTAGAACGTATTTCAATCGTAAAAACTGTGCGCAAAATATAAACAAAGAGCTGAATGAATTTTGTTATGAAATATCAGACAAAATTAAAACTTTTTTTGAGAAAAAAATCTTTAATATGGTTTGGATATAACAAATAGATATTTTTTTTTTAAAAAGAAACTTCTTTTATCTTATTTGTATTTGTAAAATAGTATATTATGTATCAAGCTTGCGAGCGAGTGTTTAAATTAATGAGTGTATAGAAAAGTTTATAAACGAGGTGCATACTATACTTTTTCTACGACAAATACTTATTATTATCTTAAAATGATTTAAATCAAAAACAACAAATGAATTGAGGCAAACTTTAATATTATTATTAAGGGCTGAAAGAGGCGCCAACATTTTTGTTTTTTAATGTACTATTAATTTTTCAACACCATTAGAAGAAAAAAAGAATTGTTTTTTTAAACACCTTAATATATATATATATATATATATATATATATATATATATATATATATATATACATATTTTCCTATGTATATATATATATATATATATATATATATATACATATTTTCCTATGTATATATATATATATATATATATTTATATATATATTAGGGTGCTTCAAAAAATAAAAAATTAAACATTTTTTTTCGCTCTTAACCTCTCAAATGTTTCTATTTAATATAAAAAAAAGCCTCGCCAAATATGGGCGTTCCAGCTCAACTCTAAGAGATCGCTGTTTTTATTTTATTTTCCCATTTAATTAACATGGAAAAAAATAATTTTATGTTTGGAATTTTATACCTCTGTATCAAAGTAACGTATGGCAATGATCATTGTAGTTTCTTATATAAAATGTAACGCTCTACAAAAAAGCTCTCTTATTATTTTTCGATAAATCAATTTCTTCTACAGTTATTCGAGGTCAAAGTTTGATTAACATCAAATTTTCTGGTATTTTTAATTTTATGGTACAATTAGCAGATGGGAGGAGAAAGGGGGCAAAACAAGTCAGCGGGGGGGGCAAAATGGGGTACCCAAAAAATGAGCATATGAAAAGTTTTCCAAAATTGTACCATCCTTTTTCTCGCTCTACAGGCTCAGAATAATTATTTTCGATTAAAAGCGTGAACTTGTGAGTCAATATATTTTCAAATAATTTAGAAACCGAAAAAACAACCTAAAAAATGGGTACCCCATTTTGCCCCCCCCCCGCTGCCTTGTTTTGCCCCCTTTCACCTCCCGTCTGCTAATAATTGTACCATAAAATTAAAAAACCAGAAAATTTGATGTTAATCAAACTTTGACCTCGAATACCTCTAGAAGAAATCCATTTATCGAAAAATAATAAGAAACTTCTTTTTTAGAGCGTTACATAAGTTACTTTGATACAGAGGTATAAAATTTCAAACATAAAATTATTTTTTCCCATGTTAATTAAATGGGAAACTAAAATATTTGGTGAGGATTTTTTTTATATTAAATAGAAACATTTGGGAGGGTAAGAGCGAAAAAAAAAAATTAAATTTTATTTTTTGAAGCACCCATAATATATAGCAAATTGCTTACTGCTTACTGTTGCGAAAAATTTATAAAAAATACATTTAAGTGTATATCTCCACAACGGCTACATACGCGATTTTAATTTTCTTGCAGTTAAGCTAATAATATCACTATTTAAAAAAAATGTTTGGAAGATTATATATTTTTTAAGTTGAAAACGCCAAATGTACCAACGTGATAAAAAAAACCTTCGGACACTTGTTTCTTTTGATCATTTAACCTCTAATTTTGCAAGAATATCTGTTTAATTTGGAACTGTTAGAAGGGGGCAACCAAATTGAATTTTTTTTAAATTTATACAGGGTGTTCCTTAATGGGATGCTTCAATACTTAAAAATTAAATATTTTTTATTTTTGACCTGGGGGGCGATTCTCGAGTTGAGAGAACGCTATTCTCATGAGAAGTAGGCGTGTTTCACTTAAGGTTTGACAGGTTGCATTCTTAAAATCATGCAATAGTTTGGTTCTCCTAAAGCAGAATAGTACATTCTGTAACAAGTTTGGAATACAGCATATTCCGCTCGAGGAAAAATTTGACACACGAGCCGAAGGCGAGTGTGACGGTTTTACGAGAGTGGAATATGCTATTCCAAACGTGTTTCAGACATTATTTTCTCTACGACTACGTAAGAATAATAACGCTTATATAATTTTAAACAGAAAAGAAACCAAGCAGTTTTTGACATTTAAGTTTTTTGTATTGTCAAACCATTTTGTGCCGTCACAATTTTATAATGTAAATTATAATAAATTTAAACAAATGGTATACCTAAATCTTTAATATAATTAAAAATAGTTATTTACACTAACTAATAAAAAAAATAACATTGTAACAAATACAAAAGTAAGTTTACAAGTAATCTATGTCAACATCTATTCTTTTTCTACATTTTAAAGGTCTTTTTTTAAACTTTTTGAATCTGTCAAAACTTCAAAGCCGGTATAGTAGGTAACTGGTTTATCATTTTAATATCAAATTTATTATAATTTTGATTTTTATATTTGAAAAACAATAAATATAACTAATTTTTTGTGCCTAAACCTTAATTATACAACTGCTATTATTTCTTAATTAATAAATATTACAGTTATATTTAAATATTTTTAAATTTTTTAAGTTTAGTAAACAGCCAGGAGATGTCGTTACTTGTGACCATTCTTAAACAAGAGTAGGAATATTCTCGCACAGTATTGCAGAAAAACATCCTTTCTATGATCAAAAATTACACTAGAATGTTACTATTCTTAAGTAGTCGTAGAGAAAATAGTTTCCGAGAGAAGAACGCACTAACTTATCTTAAATTAAATAATGCAGCCTGTCAAAACTTGAGAAAAACGCCCACTTCTCCTATGAGAATAGCGTTCTCTTAACTCGAGAATCGCCACCCTGATACAGCTACAGCATACCGGGTAGGCGTTTACGCGGGGCGCTTAAAATATTAACTGTAAATTCTTAGTAGGTAAACTTATAGTAAATTCTAATTTAAAAAGAAGAAGATGAAAGTTGTATTGTTTTATTGAAAGTTCATTGGCCCAATGACCAAAGGGAGAAGCCGCCACTGGTTAAACCCATACGAATTACCTTTATATTTATATAAATGATTATATTATTTTCAGTTGCGAGCTGACAACGGCTTACTGATGACGCCTTGTTACACCGCCAATTACGTTGCTCCTGAAGTATTAAAACGCCAAGGTTACGACGCTGCTTGTGATATTTGGTCATTAGGTGTTATTCTCTACATTATGCTGTCTGGAAGGTGTCCTTTTAGTACAGCCCCCACTGATAGTCCCCAACACATTTTGCAAAGAATAAGCTCAGGAAAACTGGACCTACAAGTAAGACCTCCTTTAAACAAGATTTAGAAAAATATTATATCTAACAGCTTGAAGTCGAATAAATACTTAAAAGTAAAATGTAAATACTTGTTTGCACATAAAACAGGCTGTCATGTGATAAGTTGTTATCCCTTGAGAGGATGATAGTTCACGCCAAAGTAAGCAAGTTTTTGAAAAAAAAATCATGAAAATTAACGTAATTCCATTTCTATGGCAACCACTGGATTCGTTTAAACCATGACCTACCTTACGTGTAAGCAGTTGGTTCGACGGACTAAGTAGTCGACCAGTATTTTAACTGTGGTTCTTATCGGTACTGCTGATTTAATAATAACGGGCCGATTATATTTTAATCGTCGAAAGCTGTTTCTGACGCAACGAAACCTGTGGCTGCAAAAATGTCCTCTTTCAATTCGTTCGGATGCACTTGGCACTGTTTACTTTTCGCGTTAGAATACGAATAGCTATTAGTAATTTATTATTCTTGGACTCTAAAGCTGATATTTTTTCATGAAGCATTTGATTTTTATATGAACATATTTTTGTTAATTTTAAGTCTGTTAATTGAGCCTGCACAACCTAAACTAGTATAGGTTTGTGCAGCATTAAATCTGTTTGGTCGAAAGGTGCACTATAGTACACTAATTTGAGTAAGTGTAGACCAACGAACAAACCTTTTGTGTCCCAAAAATACTGATATTACATTCTTTTATAAAAATATTTTTTAAATTATTACAGAGTGGTAGATGGGCCAATGTATCAGTGGAGGCCAAAAACCTTGTAACTGAAATGTTACACATAGCACCCCAAAGGCGTCCCACTGCTGCCAATTTGGTAAAACATCCCTGGTTAAATGGTATTTCGCCCGCCACCTACCAACTGTCCCAAAGTACATCACAAAACACGCTGAAAACCAATCAGTTGACCTCCCAGTCAAACGATTCCACCAGTTTGCAGGACTGTTTGCAGTTGAAGGAAACAGTTGCTGCTACATTTAGGTAATTCTTTTTGCTTAATTAAATGTAAATCAAGACTATTGCCACATCCAAGAACACTACATTAACATGGGGTTCATGGCTACATAATTACACAGTTTTCATAAGTTGTGTATATTGTTTTTAATAAAACTTTTTAGTAAAAATTGAAAAATTTTCTCAAATATTTCATTGACATGGAAGATAGTCTCAAAATTTTTTAAAGATCGTAAATTCTCATTTGTAAATTTAATTTTAATCTGGTTTTTGCCCTTTTTCTTGCTTTTTTTTAAATCATAATCATTGTGATTACAATGGTCGACAACATGAAATTTTTTGTTTGCTTTAGCGGAGCCAACAACTTATCTAGGGTAATTTAGGTGCGCTGATTCCAAAAATCATCATTTTGCTCAATTAGCCTTTGTTTTATATATATTTTTCAAATATTTTAACCAAGGATCATTGGTTATAAGTTATAACCAATGATCCTTGGTTAACTTATAACCACATATATGTAGATATGAGTCCTAATGTATCTAAAAAAATAAATTATACACATTCATAAAGGAAGTCCCTTAAAAAACAATATTTTTAACGAAATAAAATCGCTTTTTTGGTTATAACTACATATATGTAGATATGAGTCCTAATTTATCTATTCATAAAGGACGTCCCTAAAAAAAAACTATTTTTAACGAAATAAAATCGCTTTTGGATAAAATTCCACAATTTTCAAAGTTCAAAATGTTTGTCCGATTTTAACTAAATTTACAAAATTGTTTGGCTTTATTTATCTAATTTATTTTATTAACATTTCAATTTAATTAAAATGATTTAAAAAATAAATATCATGAAAAGGATCCAACCGACTTTAGAACTAATACCTGAGAAAACATGGGTGGAAACTTTTCAAATGTTGGTCTACCCTGTTAGTATGAATATATAACATGAACTTATTTAAAATATATCAACATAGGGAACGTACATTTCAGGTTATGTATCTGTCAAAGTATAGTTAAACCACGGTCTTATATACAGGTCTTGCAACTTCGCCCAATTTCAATAGGAAAAGTGACCTCTCTAATGAGACACCCACCAGATGGCGCATCGAGTTGGATGGATAAACCATAGATGTTTAAAGGTCGTTTTTACCTTCTTTACCTTCTTTATCTTTGGCCCAAAGACTTTGGGTTTTACAATCGTTAGATAAGCTCTCTGGTGGATAATTTTCTTAGATAGAAGGTTTCTATGAAAGTTATCCGCCAAATAAGCTAACTTAATCTAACGATTGTAAAACCGGCTCTAAGTCCTTAAAGTCTATGGGATAAAAGGTCAAATGAACTACCTACTTATGTTCTGTGAAGAAACATAACCTACATTTTTATAAACAAGCTTGTGTATTTTGTTACAGGGAGTTTTTACTTATTGTTATTGTGATATTCGTTATTGTTATATTATATTGTTCTATTTTTTCTTGTTATATTTGTTCTTGTTATACATTTGTATTTGTGCTTTTTAATAGACATGAAGTCCTGTGTTGTGCCAAAATGTAACCAGCAAAGCTATCGTTCCGGCATTAAAATTAAGCGGTCCATGTTTAAAGTGCCAACAAATAAGGAGCGGTTAAAAACATGGCAATGTGCAATAAAAAACATATTATTGACACCTTCACATTTTGTATGATTATTATATAATTAAGCACATCGTGTTGGTGAAATATATATTATTTTAAATAAACAATCAACCCATCCCCGCCAAGACAATAAAAAAATCGGTTATTAATAAATTAGCCAGAATATTGGTTGGTTAGTTTGTAAACTATCTAAAGCTTGGCTATGTTGTGTTACTAGAAATTTTGGTTTTCATATTAGCCAAATTGAATTGGATAGTTTACAAATTATCCAGCTATTCCTAAATATTTTCAAGTAAATTAGCCAAGACCCTTGGTTGGTTTACAAACTAGCCGCTAATTTAGTTAAAAATACGTTTTCAATTAAAATAGCTGACAGTTTGGCTAGTTTATAAACTACCCAGCTACTTTATAAACTATCCATGTTTACACATTAGCCGTAACATACAGTGCTTGCAAATCCAAGTCCGACCACACAGGAAAGGACGGCTGTTCAATACCCGCGTGAAAAGAACAAGGATAGAACGCCAAATAGAATTTGATTGGCCAGCCGGCAGGCTACGACAACGCATACCCATCGCGCACCTCGCAGCGTGCTTGACACGAGGATATTAGAACGAGAACTGCAGTGGTGCCAGCAAGAGCCTCTTGCCAAGAGGTAGTAATTTTAGTAAAAAAGATTATTTAATTAAAAAATGTAGGTACACGTTGGAACAAAAAGTTCAGATTTTAATCTGGCATTTTGCTGGTAATTCTGAACGAGAAATTCAAAGATTATTTGCGGGAATGTTCGAGGCCAGACCAAACAGAGAAACAATTCGACGAATCGTTAATAATTGCTTGTTCGAACATTTAATTTAATTTTTCAGTTTATTTATTTTTAGAGTTTTATTAGACCAGGGTCGATAATTTTTGAAACCAAAAAAAATAAAAGTAGGATGAAACCCATTGGAAAAGGAGAAGAATATAATAAAAATAAAAGGAAAAATAAATTACGGGCGATCTGACTTTGGGAAGTGGGAGGGGGGGTTTTAAGGGTAAAAAATGGTTTATCTCGATTTCCGGTAAAACTACAAGTCCTATGGAAAAAAGTTAAATGGCAAAGTTGTAGGTAATAAAAGGATCTACAACTTTTGTAATTACAATTTTTTTACATAACCTCCAAATTTATGGGAAAAATTCAAAAAACCAAGTTTTTGGTTTTTTATTTTTATCTTTTTCAAAAAAAAAAAATTTTTCCACGAAATTTGGTGAAAACTTACCTTTTTATGTCCCAAATACACTGTAATTTATTTGATTTGAAATATTTATTATTTCGCCTTATTTTGACTTAATATCAAAAAAGCACCCTAATTTTCAATCGAAAATTCTCGCGTCAAAATATCAGCTTTTTTCAAAAAGTCGGTGTGCTTTTTGTTTGTTGAAATCTCTACTTTCTGATGGTGTAAAAAATATACATTACTATGGTAAATGTTCTCAGAAAATGCAAAAAATATTATAATGAATAACGAAAAAAACTCGAATTCGAAAATTTATTTTAATCATTATGTACAATTTCATCAAAAAAATGTGATGGTTGCAATTTTTTTTAGTCAAAAAATTTATTTATTAAATTCTAATAACATTTATGTCAGAAAATCTCATAAAATATAAAAATACATGTAAATCATACTATTGAATTTAGATACTTCATTCTGATTACGTTATTCATTATAATATTTTTTGTATTTTCTGAGAACATTTACCATAGTAATGTATATTTTTTTACACCATCAGAAAGTAGAGAGTTCATCGAACAAAAAGCACAACGACTTTTTGAAAAAAGCTGATATTTTCACGCGAGAATTTTCGATTGAAAATTAGGGTGCTTTTTTGATATTAAGTCAAAATAAGGCGAAATAATAAATATTTCAAATCAAATAAATTACAGTGTATTTGGGACATAAAAAGGTAAGTTTTCACCAAATTTCATGGAAAAAATTTTTTTTTTGAAAAAGATAAAAATAAAAAACCAAAAACTTGGTTTTTTTTATTTTTTCACATAAATTTTGAGGTTATGTGAAAAAATTGTAAATACAGAAGTTGTAGATCTTTTTATTACCTACAACTTTGACATTTAACTTTTTTCCATAGGACTTGTAGTTTTGCCGGAAATCGAGATAAACCATTTTTTACCCTTAAAACCCCCCCCTCTCACTTCCCGAACTCAGATCGCCCGTAATTTATTTTTCCTTTAATTTTTATTATATTCCCCTCCTTTTCCAATGGGTTTCATCCTACTGTTATTTTTTTTCTCTTTTTACCATTTTTAAAGGCTTCTGCACTGGTCTATATTTTTATTTAGAGTTTTATTTTTATTTTTAGTTATTTTTATTTGAGAAATCTTTTTTATTAAGAATACTATTTTTGTTGTTGCCCTAGTTCTCAAGGAAAAAAATCAAAACATTTTATTTTTAGGATTCGGGTATAAAATATTTAAAAAGAAAATTAAAATGTGCATCTCCACTCCAACGCAGTTTGCTTAACACTAAATCATTTAGTCTAAATGCAGCCAGAGACTCTGGCCCAGAGTTGACCTCGCTTACAATTCGCACGCATCCGGGGCTCTGGCCAATCAAATTCTATTTGGCGTTCTATCCTTGTTCTTTTCACGCGGGTATTGAACAGCCGTCCTTTCCAGTGCGGTCGGACTTGCATTTGCAAGCACTGTATATATTATATGATATACGTATGTATTTTATACATTAACATGTTTTACTTACATGTTTGGTCTGGGCATGTGACGGCCGAGGACTTTGTACATAGAGTATAGACTTTGTTGTCCTATTTTGTTAACGTAAATTATCCGAAACAAACTCACAAATATTAAATTTTTGAAAATGTAAACAAAACATAGAAAAAGAATTTAAAAAGTTAGGTTATGGTTATTAGTTCCACATTTAACTAAGTAGTAGTTTAATTACTAATACCCCTTCGATCTTAGCGCCACCTAGCGGCTTGGCACGTTAAGGAAGCCACCTCGAAGCTTAAAGTTGCAAGACCTGTATATAAGACCGTGAGTTAAACAGTTCAACATATCAAATGAGGAGTGATTTTTCAAAAGGTGTATTTCCATTAGCAAACCATTAAAAAAAAAAGGAATATATCCTGTATAGATTTGGGCGATATAGATTATTTAAAAAAAATTCTGATGAATATATAATACTACTTTTAGACCTGCTGTCGTATTGGTGGTTTAAATTGAAATATTTATAGCAATGGTATTATTGAAAATTATTTGGAAATATATTTCTTATAAGACCTTTTGTTCGAGACTACAGGAAATAATACTTTTTTAATGAATGCCATTTAAAAAAAAAATATGGAAAAATATCTTTATTGTGCCAACAATATT